ATTCTCTGCCAGCAGGAGGCGCTGTTGGAGCGGGAGATATAATGGTTTCCCTGGTAACGGCTGTAATCAAATAAGCACTGCGCTCACAAACGCTACTTTATCAGGCATTACAGGAAAGACGAAATGAAAATGACACCGAAGCTTTTCTGAAGTCAGTCGGTTCTTTTCAAAGATACATTCATATAGAAACACCAGCGCTGCATTTTAATTTTGAAATGTGCAGTGATCAGTTTATTCAACAAAGTAATAACTCGATGTATGGAAAACACTGGACACTGCTGTAAGTCAAATGGCCAAGTGATAAAAATAAAAGAGTTCACACATATTACACAGCCTGCTGCTCATAACTGCTTAAGAGTGCACTGGCCACGAGCGATGACATCGTGGAGGCTATTGTCGGACCCACTTTATAATCAGCCCAGAAGTTTCGTCTGAATTGCATATGTTTCTACTTTCTACTAGTAGGGTAAAACATAATTACGCTTTCGAAACGGTCTGTTTTGCCCTGCCATCATTAGCTGAAGCTGTGTGTGAACAAGAAGCGGCTGCAGAGTGTGAGCTGCTCCGTCTCTCACGCAGCCAGAGAGAGATTCTCTGGTGTTCCGCAACAACGCTTAGCTGTCCGCAGATGCTCCTGCCTATAAATCGGCCAGTACAGTAATTTAAAAATGCCAAAAATCGGCCGGCCAATCAATCGGTCGACCTCTAAAACAAAGTCTCATCTTTCAAATTATGTCCATTTTTTCAAGAAATTCAAACAATAGATACTAGTGCTGTCAAACGATTAATTGCGATTAATCGCATCCAAAATAAAAGTTTTTGTTTATATAATATGTGACCCTGGACCACAGAACCAGTCATAAGGGTAAATTTTTCGAAATTGAGATTTATACATCATCTGAAAGCTGAATAAATAAGCTTTTTATTGATGTATGGTTTGTTATGATAGGACAATATTTGGCCGAGATACAACTATTTGAAAATATTTACATGCATGCACATGTATATATTTATATTAATATAATTTATATTATATATAAATCTATTTAATATCATATTTATAATCAGAATAATATTATATTATATATAATATATAATTATATTAATATTAAATTTTTTAATTTGAGTGTTGATTATTATATGTAAAAATAAATAGTAATTAAAGTTAAGTTTGGGCTCTGTTGTTAATTGTAACCTTATAGTAATGTAAAAAGGCTCCCTATAGTTTAGAGCAGAAGCTGAGGTAGATTTTCATCCCTAGGAAAATTGTAATTGTGAAAAAGAAAGAGCAGTTTGTTCAGTAAACCACTGTTTAATTAAATGAAATTTAATGTTTAGTTTTTTCCTCCTGCAGTACGTAACAATACTGAACCGTGACCTCCGTGAAGTCCCCCACCCAACGCTAAACGTTGGCAAAATAGTCTCAATCAAAAGTTTGTGCTGTAAAAATTTTTGTTTGTGCTGCTTAGGTTTTTTAGATATTAAAAGAATATTTATAGGTCATTCTGAGGTCACTCAGCCCCCCACATACTCCAAATTTACCCCAAAGATGAGTATAAGTTCTTTCCGCAGGGAAAAAAAAATGCGAGGGATTGCGCGGGCGCCTCCATATCATACAGTAAGCGCGATAATACTCCCACACTCCTCATAAACACTTGAAATGCGCCTATATAGCGATTTTATTATTCAAATAAAAAATAAAAATAATATCCTGTTTTGGTCATATTTACTATTAATTGCCCAGCTTCTCCTATCAATGATCTAGCACAGAGACAGCTAGTTCTCAACTGAACGTGCGGGAGAAGCATTACTTCTAATTTGGCCAAAGAAAACTTGTTAAAATTGACATTTTTCTATATTAATTTGTGCATTTTTTTAAAAATTCATAAACAAAAATCTGAAAAGAATTTTAATATTTTACTTTTTCGGGCAGTATTTTGTGTGTATGGTTCTAATTTAAATTTTGGTTTTCAGGATAGCATTTAAAAATACAACAACCGTTCTTTGTAAAAAAAATTTTCATCATGGTTAAAAAAAGGAAAAACAAATAGACGCAAAAGTATAGGCTACACGGACCTGGAAACAGTATTGCATGTTTTATTTACGTGCGCAGAAACGAAAATAGGCCTATGAATATCAAGTCTTTATTTTTTGTTTTGGTTTTGTAAAGACAATGAAATAGGCCTAAGTTGTTGTTTTTTTCTTCGTTTAATTAGCCTTATTGAATGAATATGACTACTAACAATTAAGTGACTGTGACCGTCATGGTTTGGTTAACCGTTTGAATTTTACCTTATTGAAGCTTCAACTGTAGCACACCAAACCAGCACAAACAAACGAGACTATTTGGGGTAAATTTGGAGTATGTGTTTCAGTCATTTCAGTGCTTGTGTTTATCAGCCAGCCGTGGCACGTTTCTGAAGCGGCTCTCCGCGCTGCTTGGCTAAAAAATAGTCTTTTGTGAGTTTGCACAGCGTGGAGGACGGAACAAAACCTCGTCGGATCCGTAAGGGATAACGGTAACATACGCTGATCGTGGGCTACTTTTAAATGAACATTTATTTATAAAACAAAATATCTTCTTTGGCCATATATATTAGCCTACTCAATAGCATTAACACAGGCTTTACTCCTTTCAAACTTTACCTGGAATGTCACCGTTTCTGTCACTGCAACTTCTCGATCAGGCGAACGAACACACACACAATCGTCTGCCTCATGAAAAAATGTATTTTAA